ATATTTATAATTAATTTATTAAATCCTCAAATACAAAAAAGAGAAGAAAGAAAATAGACGAACAATAACATAAAGCATACATACAAAGTTAAAGCATACCTTGTAATTATTTTCCTGCTGAATATATCTTGTAATTATTTTTCTAATGAATTTCCCACATATGCTCAAATATCTAACATCACTCAGTAACCAAAAAAACCATAAAGCAAAAATACAAAATCCTATTACCAATAAGCAAGTAAGGAAGTTTTAAACAGTTCTATTACCGATAAACAAAATAGAGAAGTTCTAAAATGAGGTAAGAGAGAGAAATGTAGTACATAGAAACAGGGTTGTAGGAAAAAAACATGAGAGAGAACATCATAAGAGAAGGGGAGGGAGAGGGAGGAGGTGGGGTGTGAGGGACATCGAGAGAGAAAAGGGGGTAATGGAGCAGAAATAGATAGAAAGTATGTCATGAAAAGACAGAGAGAGGGAGCGCGCGAAATTTGCTGCGAGAGATTACTTCTAAAATTTCTCAATCTCTCCCAACCGTCAAAATCCCTTAAGTCTCCCTCTCATATTTTTTTTAAAATATTTCTATTTATATATTATCTCAAATCCTCTTGATTTTCTCTTCCTATTATGTGATTTGCTTCCTTTAAGTTTCTCTGAAAATGTTAGATACTTTTATCAGTCTCCCCTACTATTCCACTTTTATGTGTCTCTCCTACTATTCTGTAAGTCTCTCTCTCATCTTTCTCCTAAATATCTAAATTTCCATATTATCTCAAATCCCATTAATTTTCTCTATATGTGTGATTTGTTTTGCTTAAAAAATGGCAAGACAATCCAATTCACCTCTCTCTCTCATATCTAAATTTCCATATTATCTCAAATCCCATTAATTTTCTCTATCTATTGTGTGATTTGTTTTGCTTAAAAAATGACAAGACAATCCAATTCACCTCTCTCTCTCTCTAAAGCCCGGGTACACAGTCTCTCTCTCTCTTTCTCTCTCCTCCCCTAAAGATAGGGAATATGACTTACACAATAGAGCCAGTTCTCTCCCCTAAAGATAGAGAATATGACTTACACAATAGAGTCACTCCTCCCCTAAAGATATGGAATATGACTTACACAATAGAGCCACCAGGGAATATGACTTACACAATAGAGCCAGCCACGTGCATTATGATCTCTATAGTATTAGAGTGTCTCTATTTATCTCCTCCCCTAAAGATAGGGAATATGACTTACACAATAGAGCCACTCCTCCCCTAAAGATAGGGAATATGACTTACACAATAGAGCCAGGCACGAGCCAACCACGTGCATTATGATCTCTATAATATTAGAGTCCCTATTTATCCTTGCGACATGGGTCCACCCTTTTTATCCTTGTAATATGGGTCCACCCTTTAACTCCCTATTTATCCCTTTAACTCCGTATTTAGCCTTGCCACATGGATCTGCCCTTTTTATCCTTGCGACATGGGTCCACCCTTTACCTCCCTATTTATCCTTGCGACATGGGTCCACCCTTTACCTCCCTATTTATCCTTGCGACATGGGTCCATCCTTTTTATCCTTGCGACATGGGTCCACTTTTTAAGTCTAGGGTAATAATGTAGTATGCATATCAACACGAAAGCTTAGCAGGGTAATAATGTAGTATGCATATCAACACGAAAGCGTAGCTTTTTTATCCTTGCGACATGGGTCCACCCTTTAACTCCCTATTTATCCTTGCAACATGGGTCCACCTTTTTTATCCTTACGACAAGGGTCCACCCTTTAACTCTAGGGTAATAATGTAGTATACATATCAACACGAAAGCTTAGCTTATTGTAGTATTCATATCAACACTTCTTGGGTCAGCTTACATGGACCTCTTGCTTAATAATGTAGTATACATATCAACACTTTTTGGCTTAATGTAGTATACATATCAACACTTTTTGGGTCTAGTTACATGGACCTGGACTCTGACCTGAATAACATTTGGATCCAAGATTTGGACCAGGGGCCCAACCCGTTGGGTCTAATTTTTGGACCCATTCCCTGACACTGGTCGGGTCTACCTGTCAGGTCTAGGGTCGGATCCAGGTCCATTGCCACCCCTACTATAACACGACCACGACAATCTCAATTCTCGTTTACACCATTTTATCACATTCAATGAGATTCCTTGAACTACTATTTTGTGATTCAAAACTTGTAATTGCATCAACAATTTTAATTCAGCCTCATTAGCAATCAAATTACTAATTGGCCCAAAATATTGCTTTGATATAGACCCATCGTGAGCTCTAACCATCCTACCAATTCCTGCTCTACTATGATTTCCAAAAGAGCTACCCTCGATATAGGCGTGATTTTATGCAAGGAGTGATTTCATGCAATTGTTGTATGGTAATATAATGAAATAATATTCAAGACCCGATATTTGTTTGTGACCCGGTCAATTTTTTTTAAGGTTGGGTCAACCGGCCCATAGGTCTATTGCCAAACAATGCTTATGGCCAGCTTGAACTAAAAACTAAAATATACGGAAAATAGAAACCAATTAAATAATAAGGGGCCATCACTTGGTGTGATGGTAAAAGGCTCGGGTCGGCAGTGCAAGAACGCGGGTAGAATCCTAATCATGAGAGCGGCCACTTTTGTGCATAAGCCAAAAATTAGGACCGTTTCTAGCCCATCCCACAAGGGGCCATGCTTAGACGGGACCAACAACCCTTTAGAAACCAATTAAATGATGGACCCCATATTTTCAAGCCCAATAATATTCCTTGTAAAGGGTAGAGTTGCTCCTTGAAAGGCCATTCTATTAAGGGTAAGCTTTTTATGCCTCTCTAGAGCATAAAACTTATATACTTCCTCTTATCCAACCGTCATTATCCAAACTTATATACTTCCTATCATCCAACCGTCCTTATCCAACCGTCCATTCTGAATGGAGGGCTAAGAAGAAAACATCCTTCTACTACCGATCGAAATTTGTTGCCATCTTCTTCTAATCCTTCCTTTTCTCTCTAAGAAATTATCCTTCTCTCTAAAAGAAGGACCGAACGGGAAAAAAAAAATGCTTTAAAGCCCTCTGCAAAAGCTCGCAAAAAAGAAACCCTAATTCTACGAATTCGGGCAGATAGGCTCTTATACTTCTTTTCAAAGGGAAGATTTACCTCTTCCCTCTACAGCTGCACACACAGACGACTAAACAATGATAAAGCTTTCAAATTTGCTCTTCTCGTCTCTCTCTTTAGAAAAGGGGGATCGGGAGGCAAATTTGTTCTTCTCCTCTCTCTCTCTC